CCTGCTCCCCGCAGCGCCTCAACCTGCCGTCCGTTGCGGCGCCTCCGAGGTTGTGGGCTCCTTCCGCCCGCTCTAGCACCAGGCACTCCTCCGCCAAAGCTGCTGCCATCGCCACCGCCGTGGACGCGTCGCTCGCCGTGAGCTCGGTCTTCTGCCTGGAGACGACCAGGTCCTTCGCCTCAAGCAGCTCAACCATCCTCACCGTGGCTGCTGCGAGCTGCCGCTTCACCTGCTCCTTCTCGCCCGCCGCCTGCACCATCACCTCGCCGACCAAGCTCGGGTATCGAACCAACCGGCACTCCCTGGCCAGCAGGCCGAGCGTCCTGTGCAGCAGCACTTCTGCCAGGCCCGTCACGCAGGAGCACGCCGCCGCCGGCGTGCCGTTCGCCTCCAGCCTCTCGCGGACCGTCTGCCCCCACCTGGCCCTCCGCCGCAGCCTGCAGCGAGTGCACGGCAGCCGCAGGAGCCCCTGGGGGAGAGCGCACTCTCACGCCGCTCTGCGCCTCAGCGCCTCGTGGGGCGCGTGTTCGTTCTACAAGTAGAGCTGCTCATCAAGACCACAACCAAGTGCGAGATGATCTTCACGACCATGCGGTCGGCTCTGATCCCCGTGCTAGAACTGGGCCAGGGCCTGGAGTCCCGCCCCATCCGCGAAGCCGACCGTCCTCGCGTGGCAGGCCACCGCGTTGGAGACCATCCCCACCCTGGCGCACGGCGCGCGCGCCCCTCCCCCAAAGCGGCCCTGGCCTGGCAACTCCGACTCCCGGCGCTGCATCAGCGGCTGGCGGATGCGGCTCCACAGCCCGCCATGGATTTTCGGAGCCCATATGAATCGCAAGAAATCCACAAGGATCATCGGAACCCTTAGAATTTCCATCGGGATCCGAAGAGAGTTCGTCGGGCATCATCTGGAGGAAATATCCAGGAAGTCAACCGACATCGTTCGGATATACCATGAAGAATTCCGTGGACATCGTTGGGAGATCCCGAGGCAATCCTCGGGACATCCTTGATGGTCCTCTAGGACATCCCTCGAACAATGCCTGAGGGATCCTCGGCTTGCTCGTCACATGGCAAGCCAGGGGTAGCTGGGAAACTTTCTATTATAGACTACTCGTCATCCTGATATCCCCCCTCCCCTTGAGCTTGCTCATCGTTATCATCCCCATCATCGCCTTCTCCTGCTCACACTCATTCTCAGAATGCTCACTCGACCCCCTCACCCCGCTCATCATCAGCCTCATTATCATTATCATCCCCCCTCCTGTTCGTCCTCGTCCAAATAGATATCATCTTATCCTCCGTGCTCTTCATCCTCCTCCTGGTCATCCCCTTGCTCATCGTCAGCGTCCTCATGACCTTACCCTCTTCCTCCTGTGTACCCTCCAGAAGCTTTCGGCTGCGACTCCATCAGGCGCACCGCTTACGCACTCCGTGCCCCCTGGCCTTACATTTGCTTGTGGCTGAGCCCCAACATGGCTGAGGGCATCCCTCATTCGGCACACAGCTCCCACATTTCGTGCCCGATATCTCTCCAGAGGCTTCTGGTCGAGGCTCGACTTTAGCACTCCACTCACGTCTATTACACCTTCCAGCTTCCCATAAATTCTTCAAGTTGGCCTCGCACTTAAGGATGGCCATAATAACGAAACAGAGTATTCCACACTACTCGTCAAATGGCCACACACGGATGCAGGAAACACTCATGTTTTTTTCTAACCTTGCCATTCAGGGGTGCGAAGCGCATCATCAACACTGCTTCTTTTTTTCTTCACATAACAACCCCGCGGCACATGCGGGTGAATTACATACTATTCCATTCCTCTCGTCACGTTGGAACGCAACGAGGGTGGACAACCCACAATTCGATTCTACTCGTTGGTTTGAAGGTCGGTTGGTTGGCAACGACCACCAGAGCGACGCTTGCGACGGGCAGGGTGATCCTGACAGGCGGGTCGGGTTGGCGGGTCACGGGCGGGTCGGGTGGGCGGACGCTGACGGGCGGGTCGGGTGGGCGGACCTAACGGGCTGGCCGGGCGGGCGGACCTTAACAGGCGGGCGGGTCGGGTCGGCCGGGATATTAAAGTTGTGCGCAATCCGTCAAGGGAGACATCCACGCAGGCGAAGGCGGCGACGACGACGACGACGACGACGGCCACGAGGAGGGCGACAACAGCGACGACGGTGAGAGCGACGATTGCGACAAAAACCACATGGGAGGGTTGGTCGGGCGGACCCTAACAAGCGCGTCTGGCGAGCGGGTCGTGTCGGGCTGACGCTAACGGGCGGGTCGGGTGGGCGGGCCCTAACAGGCCGGTCTTGTCGGCCCGGACATTAAAGTAGTGTAAATGTCATCCAGCAGGACATCCACCATGGCGACGACGACGACGACTACGCCGCCGCCGACAACGACCAGGGCGACGAAAGCGACGAGGACGACGACGACGACAAGGGCGAACACGGTGACAACGATGAGGGGGGCGACGACGACCACCCTGACGGGCGGGTCGGGCGACTGGACTTTCACGAGGGCGGGATTGCGAACCCCACCTGGCGGGTCGGTCGGGCGGACCCTGCCGGGTGGGCGGGTTTGGGCGGGCGGAACATTGAAGTAGTGTGTAGTCCATCCAGCCGGACATCCACGAGGGCGACGACGAGGGTGACGCCGCCGACGACGAGGGCGACGAAGACATGAAGACGGCGAGGACGACGTCGATGACGAGGACGGCGTCGATGACGAGGCCGACGGCGACGAGGGTGACGACCACGACGGTGGCGACGAGGACGAGGACGACGACAGCGACGAGGAGGGCGACGACGACGACTGTGAGGGCGGCGACTGCGACGACGATCCTGACGGGCGGGTCGGGTGGGCGGACCCTAACGGGGGGGTCGGGTGGGCGGGTCGGGCGGGCGGACCCCACTTGGCGGGTGGGGCGGGCGAACCCTAACGGGCGGGTCAGGCAGGCGTGCCCTAAGAGGCGGGCGGGGCGGGTCAGCAGGGATATTGAAGTAGCGTGCGAAGCATCCAGCATGACACGCACGAGAAATGCGACGATGAGGGCGACGGTAACGACGACGAGGGCGACGACAATAACGGCAACGAGCGCAACGAACGCGACGAGAACGACGGCGGCGACGAGGGAGGACGACGACAACGACGAGGGCAGCGACAACGACGCCGACGAGGACGGCGACGACGACGGATGCTACATCAGCAACGACGATGGGGGCGACGACGGCGACGACGACGACGACCCGAATGGGCGGATCTGGCGGGCGGATCCTAACGGGCGGGTTGGGTGAGCGGACCGACACAGGCGGGTTGGGCGGGCCATTCATGTAGTGCGCAATCTATCCAGCGAACATCAACGAGGGCGACGACGGGGACGACCCCGACGTCGACGACGAAAACGGGCGGGCGGACCCTAACGGGCGGGCGGGCCTGGCGGGACATTCGAGTAATACGCAACCCATCCAGCAAGATAATTATCCACGAGGGCCACGACGACGACGAGGGCGACGACGAGGCCAACGACGATCACGACGATGTCGACGACCGTGACGATCGGGGTGTTTTGGGTGCCTCTGGGGAACCTCTTGGGAGCCTCTTAGGGACATCTTGGGGGCCTCTTGAGGCCTCCTGCGCACCTCTCGAGGCCGTCTTAGGGGCACCCTTGGGAGCCTTGGGGGCCATCTAGGAAGAAATCAATCAAAGGAGGGGCCGTAATACTTTGAGATAAGATCAATTAGTTTGGTCTTTTCTCGCCGAAGCCTCTTGTGCAGTTCTGGGGGCCGCCTTGGGGGCCTCTTGGGGGCTCTTGGGGCTTTCTTGGGAGCCTTCTCGGGGCATCTCGGGGGCGTCTTTGGGGCCTCTTGGGGCCTCCTGGACATCTCTCGGGGCCATCTTGGGGCACCCTTGGGAGCCTTGGGGGCCATCTTGGAGGAGATCGTGCAAAGGAGGGGCCGTAATACTTTGAGATAAGATCTATTAGTTTAGTCTTCTCGCCGAGGCTTCTTGGGCCGTTATGGGTGCCGCCTGGGGGGGGCTCTTGGGGCTTTCTTGGGAGCCTTTTGGGGGCATCTTGGGGGCTTCTTTGGTGCCTTTTGGGGCCTCCTGGGCACCTCTCGGGGCCATCTTGGGGCACCCTTGGGAGCCTTGGGGGCCATCTTGGAGGAGATCGATCAGAGGAAGGGCCGTAGTACAGTAGGGTCCTCCCCGTAGCAGGCCACAATGTGGCCAAACTTTGAGATAAGATCAATGAGCTTGGTCTTCTCGCCGAGGCCTCTTGGGCCGTTTTAAATGCCGCCTGGGGGCTCTTGGGGGCATCTTGGGGGCCTCTTGGATTCCTCTTTGGGGCCTCCTGTGCACCTCGCGGGGCCGTCTTGGGACACTTTGGGAGCCTCGGGGGCCATGTTGGAAGAGATCGATCAAAGGAGGGGGTCCCCCCCTAGGATGCCATAATGTGGCCAAAACCTTAGTACAATGAATGATCCTGGCTTCCTTGTCGAGGTCTCCTGGGCCATCTTGGATGCCTCCGGGGGGGACCTCTTGGGAGTCTTTTGGGAGCCTCTTGAAGACATCTCGGGCGCCTCTTGGAGGCCTCCTGGTCACCTCTTGGGACCGTCTTGAGGCACCCTTGGGAGCCTCGGAGGCCATCTTGGGGCCATTTTGGAGGAGATCGACCAAGGGAGGGGCCGTGGTACATTATGGTCTCCCCACCAGGAGGCCACAAGGTGGCCAAAGCTTGGTAATCAATGTTTCTGGCTTCCTCTCCGAGGCCATCCCGGACGCTCCAGCCCCTCGCGAAAGGCCCCATCCAGACCCATGGGGGAGGGGGAGGGGGAGGGGCAAACCCTTCCCCCAAGGGGAAGCAGGGGCTGAACGAGGAAGCGCTCGAAACCGCTCAAGCCCTAAAGGGCTGGTGGGGTTCTCGCCCCCCACCTCCTCTTGGAAGGCCGCCCTCCTCTCGCCATGCCCGCTCGCTCCCGCGGCGCAG